AATATGATAAGTAGTTGTGGAATTTGGACTTCAAAAAAAGTAATATGTTAATTAGCTCCAATGGACTTGCCAGGAGAGGCCACTCCCTCTACCGAGACAAAGGGAAAAATTTAGTGTGTCATTGATCTGAGCAACTGACACGGTAAAATAACGTGCATGGAAAAAATAAACAGTGCGTGGGAAGGACAGAACTCGTTCAGTGTGGCATTAAGCTCTCCAAGACAGTGGCGTATCCAGCGGCACAGGGGGACGGGGGAGATGCTGGTGCCCCCTTGTGCCCCCCCCCCACTTGTAAATCCTAGCTACCTCACTGAAAAAAGTATTTGGTATATTTATTATCAAATTTTAGCCCAAAAACCCTAAGAAATAACACCATGCAATGAAAACAAGGATGTCGGGACCGCGATAAGGCTTTTGATTTTTTTTTTGCCCACAACATTATGATAAATGACCGAATTTGGATTTGCTCATGAAACCAAGCTCTGGACACGCCTAGTCTGCCCTCAGTAAAGCCCCTAATTTGACAATCAACGTAAAAGGAGGAACAAAGTGGCCACTTATCCATTTGTCTCATTAATTTTAAGGCCACATGGGCATTAATTCCCTTTTTCTATTATCAGCTTATCTGTTTTTATGTCAGCATATCTGATTATATAGGAAGGTCTGTCCCATCATGACAAAATCAACTCACGACTAACAATATTCTATGTATACATCCAAAGATATTTCTCCACTTACGCTATGATGTATATTTATCAGGTAGCTTGATATGCACTGTAGGCATAGTCAGGAGCTCAAATTTACCAAAAGTACACAACTTAAATTATTAATTGATATCGTTTGTTTGCATGACAGTGGTGCTTGATAAGTCAGCCTTGGAATGCCATCAGGTGTATATTTTTAAAAATCAAAGTACATTTTTTTCAACTCCGTTTAGAGAAAAAGTATATCTTTCCCAAGTTCGTCTGTTCAAGATATATATTCTCCAGTTTGTTCCCGCAAAATCTATAGATAGAGACGTTGTTTTTATTTTTGGAAACGAATCGTTTTTACTAGATATATTTAAAAAAAAATTGTGAGAAATTAATACAAACCTGACAATGTATGTCTCCTTGCACTTGGAAAAAAATCTCTCATAAAAAACAAACTTCATCAAAAAAACTCATAATAACGATTCGTTACCAACAAAATAGAAAAAAGTTTCCAAACGAACTAGAGAATGTATGTCTCGAACAAACGAACTTTGGGAAAATATATCTTGTAAAACAACGTCGGAAAAATATATATATCCTAAAAATGGACCTCAAAAAGATCTACCTCACTCTTTAAAATAATACCTGTACATGCACGTAATAGCCAGGAGCTGCAGATAGCTGGCTATTTTAAATTATGCCACTGCGGTCGGTTATCATACGGACTGTCAATGACGAAAGCTTTGACCAAAGCCTCTATTTCTATTGCCAGACAATTTTTAAATAGATTTACGTCATCCCCGACCCCCAAGTCCTCGGTAGAATTGTACGTCGCTGGTCAACGTCCATCTGAGACAATGGAGCTTTTCAGAGATTAGGAAACACTGATGCCATGTGACCAAGGGATACTTACTCTGGGATTAAAGCAGCCACAGAGCGTGAGACAGACGTCGGAAAATTGAAAGTAGATGATTTCTCTTTTCGAAGCTTTGAGAAACAGCCTCAACTACCGGATTTAACCTCCCGGCTATGTTGTGCCTCTTGCGATCCAATCCAGGGTCCTGTGAAATTTAGTTCATCGGGGACAGGCTTGGCTTGATTCAGATTTGGCAAATTCAAGGTACATTACCAACCTCGCATTAAAGGACATACAGTGCCCTCACTTATAATGGTTTAAATAATATTTATCAGGCTGAGTTACATACTAACCTTCCTTTTACACGTACTAAGTGTGTTTTTACATCTTGCTCTGATCATCTTTTCGAAATATTGTTTCGAGATTGTCCGACTTTCTAAGACACTAGTGTTTACGTGCCATTTAAAATGTACACATCCACTCCGCGTAGTTGAAACATGAAATAGGCTATTTGATCTGAAAAACATCTCAAACGCCCAAAAGTGCACAATTTGCACTCGCCATTAAGGCTTCAATACATATATATTTAATAAAAACATTGGTAAAGAGCAGGTATAATATTTCTGCATATAAAAAGCATATTGACGTGGGGATGATGGACCCAGTGGCCCGTGAGGACATCTCTTGGGAAGGATACAAACCCGTCCTCTGGCAAGGTATGTCAGGTGTACGGTGGACTGGACATCAAAGAAAATAGGACATTGAGTTTTTTTTACAATTGGGGTTGTACTTTTGCCTGGAACTGGTACCCAATTTCCGTCTCATTCATTCGGAATGCATGATGTAATTTCTCCAAACCTTTGGGCATCATTTCTGTTTTTGCATGATGACGCTCGCATAGTAAATTACCCACACGTCTAAACTGGAAATTTTTTGAGGCCATTGACCCTCTCTAAGCCCCCCCCCTTTTCAAAGTACATGTACGACCGAAGGAGTACTGATCAAGGCACTGTAAATGACCCGAGTCATTTGCGTCAATAGAAGTCTCCGGGCAACCACTTATTGTTCCTTAGAATCAGGTGTATTTCCAAGGGACTGGAAAGAAGCTTTGGTGCGTCCCTTGTTGAAGATAGACAACCTCGATTTGATTTTAGAAAATTATCGACCGATTAGTGATCTCCAATTCATTTCTATATTGACAGAGAGAGCTGTGTGTTTTCAGCTTTACTCCCACGGGTCGACCTTCTGTTTCCAGTTTTTCAATCTTCTTACCGAAAGTATCATTGCAGTGAGACGGTTCTCCTGAAGGTTAAGAATGATATACTGCTGAAAAGGAATTCTCAGCATGTCATTTTGCTTGTTCGCTTGGACTCAAGTGCTGCCTTCGATACAGTTAATCACACTCTTCTGTTGCAATTTTTAGAATCTAAAGTTGTGATATCTGGTAAAGCTCTGGCCTGGTTTTCATCTTATTTATCTGGCAGGAGCCAACGTATTTCTATTTCATGGTACTCTGTCAGAGAAATTTGATCTAAACTGTGGTGTCCCTTAAGGGATTTGCTTAGGATCACTTTTATTTACGGTTTATGCTTCTAACTATTTGACATCATTGAAGACCATTTGCTTGATGTCCATTTTTATGCAGACGACACGTAGTTGTACTTATCATTTAAACCCGATTACACTTCTGCCAAACCGCTCTAGCTGCAAAGGAAAGTTGTATTTTGGACATTGGAAATTGGATGCTGCAAGACAGGCTAATGATCAATGATGCTAAGTGTGAATTCCTGATTATTGGAACCAGGCAACAGTTGCAGAAAATAAATATGTCTAATGTCACGGTGGGCAGTTCTGTAATCCCTTCATCCACGTGCGTCAGGAATTTGGGATCATAGTTTGATTCAGAAATGACAATGGACACCCACATCACTAAGGCTTGTTGTGCAGCATTTTTTCACTCTTCACAATCTTAGGCGCATCAATAAATTCCTCTCTCCCGGTTCGCTTTCAGTGTAAATTCACGCATTGGTGACCAGCTGTGTGGACTATTGTAATAGTCTTATGTATGGTTTGTCGGCAGCACAGATAATGAGATTCCTGCGAGTCCAGAATGCTGCAGCTGGGCTCCTTACGAATAAACCCAAGTTTCAGCACATAACACTAATAATGTATCATCGGCACTGGTTACCGGTTTTGCACAGGATCAACTTCAAAATCTCTTAACATACAAAGTCATGTATCCACGGTCTTGCTCCTGGAAACTTAATGAATCTTGCCATTATTAAGAAGGAGTCTAGATATCATCTCAGGTCAGCAACTTACGGTCCTCTGTTAAGTTACCCTTACGGTAAAATGCTACCTACACTTGGTAACAAGGCATTTGCAATGGCTGCTCCTAAATTATGGAATGCTTTACCATGGCATATAGGGTGTGAGCAAAGCCTTGCTATTTTTAAATGTAAAGTGAAAAGTTACCTTTTTAATATTACACTTGTCCAGTGATATATTGCACTGCAAGATTCTTGATTTTATTTAATTGATTTTAAGTAATAGGGTAATAACATTTTTAACGTGGGTTTAGCTGTGATTCGTTATTTTAGTGTCACCTTGTCTGGTATAATTACTTTTCTTTTATCGTAGGTAGGGTTAGAAGCGTCTGTCCCCAGGAAAAATCTAGACATCACCAATGTCGGCAGGGTTAGGTTCTCCCTGTTGGCGGGGCAGACGTATCCCCCTACTGCGGTTTGGGTACGAGCGCGGTGACATTCATTCATTTATTCTAATTCATTTATCATTATCTTTCATTTCGTAAATGAAATTAATTTTTTATATCAACTTGTACTGCACCATTGATCATTTTTATGGAAACGGCGCATTATAAATTTTAAATTATTATTGTAATTTTTAATTATTATTAAGAGACTCTTTGTTGATATTGCATGCGTGGCGTATTTCTGTTGAGCACAATTTGAAATATAGGTTTGCACAAATGCTATTTCACACCCTTAACCCTGGGGAAAAAAATCTTTGACTATCTTTGAAGTGTGTGCTGTGTTTTTTTTTAAATTGAAAACAAACGCCTCTATGCTTCTTTGAAGGCCTGATACCCCCTATTGATTTTGTTATTGAACTGGAAGATCGCCAGGCGATAAAAACCACCGTTTTCATAACTGACGCCGTTTTAGCAGCGACTGGGATCATTCTGGATTGTTTCCCCTTGATTTTCAACATCCATTTCAAGAACCACCAGTAAACGAAGCAGGGATCGTAACATTTCATAATGCCAAGAAAGGTTCAAATAACTATAAAATCAAACTTGCGTTTCTTTCGTGAGAATAAAGACTCTTTTATTCTTTTTGAAGGTTAATTTTACAAGTGGTTGTGAAACATCAGTTTACATCAAAGGGTTTTACTGTCAGAATATAGTTAGACAACTTTGTTGGTTTATCAGTCTAAGTGGACATATGATGCACATTAATACATTTATGACAGCTTTAGAAAGCTGTACTGGGCCTTTCCCGTAATATGCATATGTTTGTACTATTGCTCTGTTATTAAGATACAGCCCCCAAATCAACAACTTGATCCTGATTGGTGGAATACTGGCCTACGTGTCCATCATATTTCAGGGTATAGATACCGCAGTCACTTCCACTGGAAGAGTTCTTTTGATGTGTAAGGTAAATCGTCTGCTTTTTAACCCTCCAAAGGGTGAGCCATGTTATACAAAGAACTCACTGTTGTGGAATGAATTGACACCAATAGTTAGGTGTTAGTAACTCTCGTCAAGACAGAATGGGGCTGGCAAAGTCTTTACTATGGATAACTAAACTTCTTAGCATGCCGCCACGCTAGCTGCAGTTCTATATATTTTATTTAAAATTTGTCACGCCTAAATAACTTGCTGAGACAAGTTTGCAAATCCATGTGTGTCTTTTTAATCGCCTCTACATCCATTTCGTTCATATAGTTATACATTTTCTGTCGTGACTCATGTTAAGACGTAGTGTCTGTCTATCAGGTTTTCATTGGCCTGCGGTTCCACGTTCAGCAAGACCTGGCAGGTGCACAAGATATTCGCCAACAAAACCAACAACAGGATGGTAAAAGCCTTAAAAGAGTTTTCGTCTATTGACAAAACTGCATATGACACAAACTTGGCAACAGTTGCTTTACGGCGTAGTTGAAACACTGAGTCAGAAATCCTTAACAGTACATATTGGAGTGTTAATTCATGAAGATTTGCAGAAATTTTAACTGGGGACCAATTCCAGTTGAAACATCCTCTTATCGCCATATTTGGCGGTATATTTGTATTCTCGATTTTCCCTCTGATGTATAATAATCCAACCATTTTTATGTTTATGTTTATTTGTTTAATTTTTCTTGCTCAGAGGGTGAAGGGTCACTGTTTGTTCGGCTCTGACGCCACGCTGGTTATTCAAGATGTTACAGTTCTCATCATATGGGAAATCCTCGATTCACTCACAGCTATAGAGTGGCTTGGAGCTAAAGTGGTAAGAAGAAACGTGTTTGTATGTTGTCTTCAGTTTCTACACTGTTTCTAAAATTTTTCTTTGAGTTCAACATGAATTAGACATAGAGTCGTTCACGAATGTTATATTTACCACTTATGTGATTTAACATGGACTGCAGTCGTGTAATATTCTTAGATTGGCGATAAAAACGACGACATCGTGTACACACCAGTCCAGATGACATGTGGGTCAAGGAACCAGACCTACTCGATTGGTGTCTTCTATGTCATCGATGGCCTTTTGTTGATATTTGGCGCTTTTAAATAGAATTTTAAGTTTCCAATTTTTGACATATAAAAGCTTGTCCTTTGCAAACAGACTTCGTTGAAAGTCTTACTTTTGTTATCCGGATCTAGGAGGCTTAAAATTCTTGCTCCTACTCTAAGCGGAAATTAGATCATTGATAACATCACTCACAATGCTTTGCATGTAATGTTTTCTGATCATCGCCGTTAACTGAAATTTTAAGGTATCTGCATCTGTAACATCTTGGTCCTGTCTCTTGTGGGCGCCCCGATGTCGCTTGTTCTTGAGGAGAGGAACGCCCACTACTCCCTGGTATCTATCCTTTCTGGCTGGACACTACCATCACACTCTGTCTGGTCTTTGTTCCTAAAGCCAGCCAATACAATCATACAAATATTAAAATTCAGATCATGAAGTAAGGAACCAGCTCGATTTTAAAATGGGGCGCGGTCATTCAGGATATCAAACAGAAGTTGCAGACGACAGGTCTGGCAAATTTGTATTCTGCACGTGTCATCTACTGCTGTGGTGATATCGATCTGTCTCGTGTCAGAAAGTTTGAAGAAAAGTTTATCATTCCTTTAAGTACGTGCCGCCCTCAGGCTCATATCGGCAATAAATTGTAATTATATCTTCAACCATGCCGGAATGAATTTTATTATTTTCCACGCTCCAATCAAAAGCGGATATAAGGATCACACAAGGTTGGCTGTAGAGGTTGTGGCTTCCCCAAAGAGACTTGAGAGATTGAGAGAAAATATTCGTTTTGGGTCAGTTTTCTTTTCCATTCCTCAATGTGTCAAAAGCCCCAAACTATAAATTCATCGTTGAAAATGTTAAAGATGGTTACATGAATATGTTCTTAATTTTGGGGAAACATCCCCTTTCCGAATATTTACTTCTTGATCCACCCTTTATTTGCAATTTGCGGCTCATGTTTGGTTGCGAATGAGAAACTACATAATCAGCTATCAAACGCCTGACTGTTTCAGGTACGGATGGGAAATGAGATGCAGCCAGCTCAGAGCACGTTAGCCTCGCAGATTTCCCAAGGCAACAGAGTCGACAACCTACCAACACGGAGTGGGAAGTCCAGCAGCTCCGGCATTAACTCGGCAAAACGAAGAAGAATTTCGAGGAATTGAAGATGTAACGTCCCGTGAAGTCTGCAAAATTGCTTTGGTTGGGGGGCACAATTACTACCTGATGAAGCTTAGGACTGTGTCATTAAAAACACATCATGCATTGTCATTTTACACGTCCTCGTCATTGGTTTTCGAACTAATATGAAGGAGTTAGGGGAATTGTAATTTTGGTTGAATGCAAAGTTGTACTTTTAAGGTCATCGGCATGCTGGATGGAGACGCTGCAAAAACAGTCTTTCACGTCATGAGACTTGAAGCATCAAAAGCGCGGCCAGCTGACTAGATGCATCCATAGGAAAAAGTTCTAGTATCACAATCAAAAACTCCAGTTTAATAACTTGCAAAAGTAAATGCAAGAACTTCTAAGGCAGTGAAAAATCATATAAATAATCGTAACCATTTTTCTTATTCAACCAAAAGATTTTAAACTTTTAATAATATCAGAATATTTTTGAAGTAGAATGAAGATACGATTTAAATTGAGAATTTTCATGAGTCGTAGATCTACTTGAATATAATCCATGGAATGTGGCGTACATTATCAATAAGCTAAAAATCGTTATACATTAACTTCACACTGTTGCCTTTTCCAATTCTTAGCGTAACTTTCTACGATTCTTTCAGAAAGGCTGTTTAACACAGATATAATTTGTTATTATCCTGTGGTTTTTTTATATCTCTTGTCTTGGCTCCCTATTTCACTCGATTATGTAAACGAAACGTACTGTCGTCAAACTGTTTTGAGTTCTACATATAAATAAATCACTATATGAAAGATCACCGTCTGCTGCAAACATACTGTTGACGAATAGATCTTCATAAATCTAAAAACTTCAATCTAATATTAATATGAAACCTTAATATGCACATGCATGAATATACACACGACTCGAAGCACGTATAAACTAACGAAATACAAATTTTGTCAAAATCAAGGTGTGATTCAAGTCCTCACTCAGCGTTATTCAAGCGGCAGACCGTCACAGAATATAATTTACATAGGCTAAAACGTCACTTCAGGACCATTCAAACCGTGGGGGTGGGGTATAAAAAAGATACCCTCTTCCACCCTCTGACCGACTAATTCTCAGAGAATGACGATTTCCATTCCAGAGCCATGGTGGTATTCTAAGATTTCTTATACCGTTTATAAAAAAAATGCCCCTATTCAAAATCAAAAAGTTGCTAACACATGATGACTAGTCACCCTCTTGCTGTTATCAATGGAAAGGTCGCCACTTTCTATTACAGCCACCCCGCCTGTGCCGTGGCCTAATCTATTAGACTGTCAAACTGAACTTGAAGAGCAAAAGGCCGCAGCCTAAAATATAAGGCATGGCGCTTGGTTTCTTGGGTCTAACTGTTCGAAGCAACGAGGAAGATGTTGTCGCTGTTTTTTCGTCTTACAATCCTTGGGACAGCGTGTGTCTGTATGCCCAATGTGACCAAACTCTATCTTCTCGGGCTCTATCCAGAGTCTGGACCCTGGGTCGGAGCACAGACCGCTATACCAGCAACCCAACTAGCTGTGACGGATATCAACAGCAATCCTGATATTCTACCTCGTCATCAGATTGTTGTCATACCAAGAGATACGGAGGTAAGGTCCGTACTCCTCTAGCGTGTTTATTTTAGAGTGCATTTCAAAGTTGAAATGATCTGTCAAATTAAAACATTTTGAAAAAGAAATTATTACACTTTAAAATCCAACTGTTTGAATACATTTCATCACGTGTGTCCGTTATTGAAAGGGTATTTATTCTTTTATCTTACTAAGGACAAGGGGTTTGTAGCGTTTTCTGTTTTTTACACGGTCACTTTTTCAAATGTTGATGCTTGAACTTCAGTTGATGAGTTATTAAGGACAGACTACGGAGATTATTTTTCTAAACAAAAAATTGACAAAAACTAAATTAACAAATTTATTTTTTTTTTCATTTTGTCTGTGTACATGATAATTTGCATGTGCTTCTCCGTTAGTGCAGCGGCATACAATAATTTTACTAATTTTGACAGCAAAATTTGCACCAAAGGTATTTCTTTGAAGAACACAAGAAGTTCGTAATCAGTTCGTTAAGGGAGTGTTAACAATGGTTACAGAATACCTGTAGCAATCCAAGACGACCCCACTTTTCATTAAAAATAATTTTGAATACGCGTTATCCATATAATCAGTGATGTTATTTGGAGAGCCCAGAGTTTAATTGCATTTGAGTATACACAAAGGTAAAGGAATCGACAAAAAACATTTCCAGTGTTGGTTTCTAAATTGAATGACAATTGAGTTACAGAATGTTTGATTTTTAAATGTCAGAAAATCTCATTATCGATACAAGGAAATAAACTCCACAAAATAAATGAAAGCCAAAGAGTTACAGCACGAACAAATTAGTTCATGAACAGCAAACATCATGAAACAAAAGTGAATTTATTTCTGATGATTTTGAGTGAGACTATCAATTTTTTTTAAAAAATTGCTAAGCATGTGCACTTTTGTGATGTCAATAACTTTTATTTAGAGAATTTAGTCTGCAAAATGAAATGACCGACACCCAGTGGCGTAACAACGGGGGGGGGGACGTGCCCCCCAGCGAATGCTTGTGCCCGCTGGGTGCCCTCCCCCCCTCCCGTGAAATCCAGCTCATTGTATTTTGATGCCCCCTGATAAAAATGTGTGCACCCCCGGGTGCCCCCAGAAATGCCTACGTCACAACAGAACTTACCAGGATTCATTTCCAAAAAGCCTTATTAATTACTGTGGCGTAAGCAAACGTACCTTGTAATAAAGACTTTGAAGTTAAATTTCCATTGGCGTATTTAAAACTTGAACTCTAGCGTTGTCTATGTGCCTTGGTACACTTAAGCTGAGTCAGGCGTGGCTGGGCTGGCTTGAGCAGCCCGCGTTGGATTGGGCTTGAGTTGGGCTGAGTTGGGTTGTGTTAGATTGGGTTCAGGATGGCTTAAAGAATAAGCTTGTTTCTCAAGTGCGATGGTGGCAAGGCTACCGATGAGATGTACCGTGAGCTGTTCAACAAGACCACAACCAAGGTCATGGTGATCGGGGCAGGGTGCTCTATCGCTACGGAGCCTACAGCGCAGGCCTCGCACTACTGGAATCTTATCCAGGTTGGAATCTTGTCAACTTCTACCTTTAATTAACTTTAATGTCCCTATCAATTTTATCTACAGGCGAAAACTTTTACTGCGTACCGTTTGAAAGAGATAAGTCATGCAATATCATTTTCAGCGATTGCAGACTGGTTACGTATGTCTTAAGCTAATGAAAAGATTTGCTTATTGCAGTTCATTACATTTAACACCCGCAAAGACCGCGCGCGACGCTATAGTTATTTTTCATAATCACCTAGTTACCCATTCCCATTGGTTGAGAACCCGTCACGTGGCCGGTTTTAAATGGTTTGTCCGGTTCGTAAGTGTGGTGACACTTCAGTTAAATAAGAAAAAAAAACTGCCACACATATTAGGGCCTATTTGTTTCACACGGATCAAAATCTCGGTCAGTGATCCCATCGCTGGCTTGCCCCATCCAATAAACAAGATTTGCCGTCATTGAATCAACGACTCATCAATGTTCGCTATCCTGATTCGCGTGAAACAAGCAGCCTAGGCTCATCAAGTTACATGGAAACCGAATGTTAACGCGCAACTTGAGTGTTCATTCAATGCTTGGGCGTAACCTTTCGAGGTGGGGATGGGCTATTGAATCATTAGCCCCACCCAGTCCACCCCCACACACATTTTTTGTGATGAGCCAAACAAATTAGGCGAATCGTGAATAACGTAGGATTTCCCGATGTCAAACATGCTTACACTATCACCAAAAAGGGATAACAATTTTATAAAGCCATAAATACGCCATTCGGATTGAAGATTCTGCATAAATTTGATACGCATTGAATTAGGTTAGGCTGGCGGTTGCACCATGTACAAGAAAATATCTCTTTTATGAGTGTGTGGTTCTGAGTAGAACCGATGGTAGTAGTACTTCCACTGTGCATAGCTTCAAGTCTTATCTATTGATACACATTACAGATGTACATATTTATAACGAAGATTGTGTATATAGTGTACATGGTGTACCCCGCAGCTTATCACATTTCTATGGCCACACAAACCATTCCCCAACTTTCCCACTCTTCGAATTTCCAACACAGATGATCCAATGGGAGCTTGTGATCAATAGAGGTTATGTATGGTAGCCAT